CACACACACACACACACACACACACACACACACACACACACACACACACATATATATATATATATATGCACACAACTTTCATCTACGGACTCGATTTCTATTATTCATATGTGCTAAATTTGGAGATGCCAAAATGTCGTTCTCATCTCGACGTATCGGCCGTGTATTGTATATATCTTTTGGCGCGTGGCTTATTATTAGAACTAAGAACCATCTTGTAATTTGTAGCTGCGCACGGTCGTATTATTATGAAGGGAGATTTCGTTTCTCTACTTTATGATAGGTTCGCGTACACAATGGGCACTTCAACACACTGAAATGGAAGAAGGCCAACAGAGAACCGAAGTGCCTATCGCTAGGTAAGTTAAAAATATGACAGTGTCTCCCTGAGGCTTTGTATTCAGCTCTTTATGCGTATTTCGCTGGTTCCAAAAAAATTACTAGTCTCAAACAGGGTGATCATGGTTTGTATTTGTTACAGGAGACCAGCATGCGATGATCAAGATGATCACAGATGTTGATGCGGAGACAGGTGGGTGGGTTTTCTTTATTTTGCTATAGACTAATTGCGTAGTGCTCTGAAAGTTAGCTGGTTTTTTGTTAGTTCCTAATCTGTACATACACGTTTCTACCTCCTTGCAGTTCAATTCCGAACAATTCATTTGCATTCATTTGCATAGAATCTTTCCTGTTATCTTTATTGTTTTTGGTATCAGCTGCTCTCATATACGTATGTCGAATTTGAGACTTCGTCGAGGTTGCGAAGTCACGTTGACTTGTTTCTGATGTATCTACGACAGCAGAAGGTGCAGCGAAAACGGATGCATCAACAGACGAAAAAACGGGCGAAAAAACGGATGAGAAAACAGATGGATTCGCAGTTCCTGCTCCCGTTAATAGAGGCAAAATTGCATCTGCCGCTTCATCCCCAGCCCCGGTCACCACGATATCTGACAGCAGCACTGAACCATCTACAGACAACACATTAAAAGACACTGACGTCACCACCGGTCAAGTTTCGGGTGTAAGTAGTGAAGACAGTGCAAAGGTAAACGTCGCAACAGAAGCACCTGCATGTGACAGTACGGGGGGCGATACAGAAATGCAAGGTAGTGCGAATGTAAAGGACGATGGAGAGAGTGGTGCGAAGCCTGACGGTGTGGGCTCTGGCTCTGTATCAGCAGAAAATGCAGACGGTGATGGCTCTAGCACTGTATCAGCAGAAAAAGCAGACGGCGAGGGCTCTAGCACTGAATCAGTAGAAAAAGCAGACGGTGAGAGCTCTGGCGCTGTTTCAGCAGAAAAAGTATACGGCGAGGGCTCTAGCACTGTATCAGCAGAAAAAGCAGACGGTGAGGGCCCTAGCACTGTATCAGCAGAAAAAGCAGACGGTGAGTGCTCTGGCTCCGTATCAACAGAAAAAGCAGACGGTGAGGTACTATCGAGTTCCAAGCCAGCCGATGCATATAGCAGTAGTAATGGGGATACAGAAATGGTCACTGATAGCTCACAGGAAGAGGACAAGAGCACGGCGAACAACAAGACAGACTCAGCCTCAAATGAACAGGGCAAAGCCGTTAGTGTGGGTGAAGGTGAGGTATCTACGAGTACGGTAGCCGATGTTGGCGATGAGAACCACGATGCGAACCAACTGATGGATACTGATGTAGCGGAAAAAGTATTTGAGGATAAGCAAGGTGACAGTCAGGAATCTACGGATACAAAATTTGATGGGAAATCAGGGTCAGAAACAGCGCCAGCGGTATCGGAAAAACCTGATGCCGGCGCAAAGAATAAGCCAGACGAATCGGGTCTTTATACGAGCAATATGAATGACGTAGAGACAAAGAATGCGCAAAATACCGATGCGACGGTAAATGGGGCACAGGAAGACGAACTAACGGAGAAAGCGGACGAAGTTGGAGGGAAAAGCTCTGATTTAGGTGGCACTAACGGCCCGAAGACCGATGACGTAGCTGCTGTTGAGACGTCGAGTGGCACTAGTGAGATAGCGGCAAACGAAGCAGACGAGATTGCGCCAGCCAGCCAAGACATGGAAATCGAAGGGCCAGTGGACAAGGCAGATGCGATGGATATTGATAGTACAAATACACAGTAGCACATGGCGTCTCACCCGTCTGAAAATATGCGCTACTTAGTGGGAGTCGACTACCAGATTTAATAGGCTAGTATAGCAAGTTTGGACACAGTTATCGCCTTTCCATGCATTGCTTGGAGGAGCACGGTGAGAAGTTCATAGTCATGATCATGTGTACATTTGAAACGCATCTGCTGCATTGTCGTTCTGGGATCTCCATCTAGTACAATTCCGATGAGAGTATAACATTATGATTGTAGTCGAAGTAAGTGAGCTGGCTATATTAAAATATATACGTACTAAAATAATAAC